GTATTAGGGACCACATACAACGTAGAACAAACAGTACAAATAGAATGCACAGGAGTGCTGGATTGATGGTACCATCAGGAATTCAGACTATAGGACTGTCACCAGTTTTATCATAGCAGTTGATGGAGGGGAGATGCTCCAGGAATTTCTGTTCTACTCTCCAGATTAGGATCCCCCCCTCCTTTCAGTTACTGGATTTTATGACACCTGTCCTTGGTGGCATATGTCATGCTTGTAAGTTAAAGGATTTGTGAGAGAATTCATGAGAATAAGGGGCAAAAATAGATAGATAGATAGATAGATAGATAGATAGATAGATAGATAGATAGACAGACAGATAATAAAGAAACCCCGTGATTTTGCCTCCAGAGTCCCAAATTGCTTCACTAACTATTGAGGCATATTTGCAGTACTGTGCAAGACAGTAAAGGGGGAAAAGGAACACGGTATAGGCAAAGACTAACTTGTACCACTCATCCTTCTCTGGAAGGCCCCAGCCTACTCACTCACAAGTGGAGGGGAACCTTCTCATTCTACCCTCCTTTCTCTTCATACTCAAAAAATATTGGGTGTAGATAATTATTTCCATTCAGCCATGAGACAGTTGCTAAGTAATGACTAAGTACCTGGTCCTGTTTAGTGCTAGAGATAAAATGATGGACAAAAATGGTCTTGGAACTTGCCCCTAGGACACCTTATTTTTCTGGAAAATAGAAGTATTTAGCATATAATGAGACAAGTAAATTTAAAAGTATCCCAATAGTTAAGGTGGTAATTACTAATTTGGAACTTTGGAATCAGAATGACTAGGCTCAACTTTTGATTCTGTCTGCCTCTTTTACTCTGTCTGGGACAGATCACTTAGAGTCTCTGTCTATGTTGAGCTCTGTCTATGTCTCTGTCCACTTCCTAGCTTTGGGATAGGAATGAAAATAGTTCCCACTACTGTTGTGAAGATCAAGTGAGTTACTCCACACATAAGCATTTACGTGTTGGCGGGTGTATACGTAAGTGTGACATATCCACACGATCTATAAAATACATGATTGGCTTTGAATACATTCAGCAGCTTACCCCAAATTCTTTTCCCTTGTTCATAGTCCAAGTACATAGCCTTCCCCCTTTGACTTGGCAACATAGGCGGGAGACGAGAAGCCCAAATGATAAATGGTGGGGGGAGTGCTGGGTGTGGGTTTAGTTTGAGGTCTGTCTGCTCCATATATGGCAGTAGTACAATCTCTGAAGAGATGTTTTCTTCTGATAAAGTTTCCCTTACTGTTCTAGCGGCTGCTTTGCACTATGCTTTCAGTCCAGATGAGGTTTGCTGAAGTGCCAGCAATGACACGTATCCTGCCAACACTCTCCTGACTGTCCCAGCCTCACAGACATGTCTAAACAACTGAGGCCGAGGCTGAGATTCAATCTGAGTCTAGGATTGCTGTCTGACCCAGGGAGAAAGGCGAGAATTAGTGTTTGGTGACAGTGCGGACAGGCTGTTTCAATAGGCCCCTTTATATGAAGGTTTGCAAGTTCAGCACTCAAAAGATTGTTGTTTTTTTTTTTCTTCAGTATTTGGGCTGCAGTTAGGGTGGTCAGCATAGGGAAGAAGTGTCTGGGCTCCCTGCTGTGTGAGTAATATGCTTCGGCAAGATACACCTTTGTACAAACATCATTTCAACAGAAAAAATAACTAGGTGCTTCATAAATGGGAACTTCAAAGACATTTCAAGCACATTACATACAACTCAAAGATGTAAAGAAATTGAAGGCATAGAAAAAACAATTTTTATAAAAGTTGGGGATTTAGTCTTTATAAAGAAAGATGAAAGAAAGTGGCACATTATGGCTGGGGATGCCAACTGAAGAATGTAGCAAACTGTCAAGCTACGAAGGGACAATGCACCATCAGTAGTAATGAGCTTTCATCTGCTGCTTCTGAGGACTCGTTAAAAGGGAGCATTTCAATCGTGACAAGTGAATTGAAGACACTCAGTACCAGGATCTGTTCCCACAAGAAGGACTCGAAATAAAGCTCTGTCTGTGGAGATTAAATAAATAAAAGGCAAATCTATCAGACACGGGAAGGCTCCGTTCTACTTAACTTCAGGATAATTGCCACTTCTTAAGCAGTCACTCTGTATGAGGCCTTCTCCCTGCACTCCATGCTCGCAGTTAATCTTCACAACCACTGTGGGTGGTGGATACCATCACATCCTTCATTGTTACAGCGGAGAGATCCCAGGCTCTGGGTGGTTAAGTGGCTTGTCTAACGGACAGTGTAGATGGTGGTCTGCAATGTCAAATCCATATCCTTCTGTCTTGAGAGCCTGTTTTCTGTTGCACATAGCTTCTTCAATGTAATAATACTTCATCTCACTATGTCCTTTTTTTTTATTAATTGTTCTCCCGTTTATATTTCTTATATCCCCCTTTCCAAATGAAATAATCTTACCCTAATGACTGGATTAGAATGCCCAACTGATTATACTAGCAACTCATGCATATCTCAATGCAAAATGGACTTTTGGACTTTGGACCATCTTAAAATTAATCTGGAGAGGACATGTTATCTCAATTTCTATTATTCTGACAAATGTAATAACAGCACCACAGCAGCACACACACACACACACACACAGCGAGAAAGAGGTAGGGGAAGATGCATGTCCTTATTGAAACAAAAATCTAATTAGGCTGTAATCGAATTCATATTGACTTATAAAGTCTAGGCAAGTAGAATATTAAACAGAATGAGAGTATACATGGGTAGCAGAACAATTAGATGACCAACAAATCAGAGATTGAAGTTGATTACATTTATGTCCATTTATCTTGGTGTCAGACTTTCAGCAAGCTCAGTTTCATTGCACAATGCAGGTAGCAAGCCATCACTGATGACTGTCCTCAGGGATCTTTGGAGTGTTTTGTCTAAGTGCTGGTCCACACAGCACTGTTTTACTGCAGAAAGAATGATAATTCATTTTACATACTGACTATTGGGCCCTACTCCAAGGTCACTGAAGGTATGGTCCAGATAGGTATCAACAGGATCCTTACGAGACAAAAACACTGAGTGAGAGGAGAGGGTAAACATGCAAAGGTAAGAGAACCCAAGAATGGTGCTTAGAATTATGTCTGCAATATTTTTAAGTATGATATATGTGAGAATAAAGATTTCATTTATTTATTTATTTATTTTGCATGCAACCAGTTTCCCCTCCATCTTAACCTCCTATTCCCTCTGCCATCCCCCACTTCCCTTCTTTCTACCCCTCCCCCCATTCACTCCTCCTCCGTATCCATTCAAAAGGGGTAGGGAGAATAAGGACTTCTGAACAGCGGTGTAGCATAGCTAAGGGCACCCTTTTCAAAGTGTAAGATGGAAATAATCAATAGGGTTCATCCACCTGACTTCCACAAGGAAATATCAGACAAGTTTCTTCTGATTCAGTGCTCCTTAACTGTGGCTACCAATTAGGATCACTTTCTTCTGGTCTGGGAGTAAGTCCACCATGACAGTTCCTATGTACATCATGGTTGAAAAGCAATGATAGATACATATCACATTTGTCTACTTTTCATGATCGATTCCTGAGGCTATCCTAGATTGTCCTAGATCCTTCCTTGTGTTATCCCCCTTAAAGCTCAAAACCGTTTTCTTTACTGCAGAGACTGTTAGTCAGGTTTATAGTGGTTATTGAGCTAGAAAACAGCCAGGGTGGGGCTAAAATTGAAGCATCATGATCCCACAGGCTACACTTAGGACAATTTCTATGCAATGTGATACCACGAGTGAGTCCCATCCTCCCATGCTGGAGAGGTAACTCAATCAACCTCTCTGGGCCTCTCCTCTTAGATTATTGGCTTCCTTCAGTAAAACCTGGATGAAAGAACCAGTGAGCCCTTTTCAATGGCACCCTGCAGCACTCTTGCTCACAAATTTCCACTGCTTTCCCAGCACATGTACAACTGAATTCCAAATTCCTTTTCCACAGCCTCCATAGCCTTGCATGTTTTAACTTCTGCTCATCCCTTCAGCCTCATCTCATCTCTTGCCAGTCTCAACCACAGTCACCTGATTCCAGCCACACTGCCCCTCAGACTCTTGGAACGCTTCAAGCACTTCCTTTCCTGGGCCTTAGAACTATTTTTATCTCTGTCTGGAATTCTCTTCCCCAGGCTCTTTGCATGGATGACTCTTACTCATTTTTCAGATTTGAATTTCAAGATGCTCAAGCCAATGCCTTCCTCACAACTCAAGCTTAAACTTCTGATTTAAAAATAATATTTTCATTTATTATTTTAATAATATTTATATTGTCTATATTTAGATATTTGCTTGCTTAATTATTTTTGTCTTCTCTGGTGAAATGTGAGTTCTAGAAGGGCAAAGAACATTATCTCTGCTATGACTGTGTAGGTTGGGTTCTGCTCAAGTGTGTCACAGCTGGAGGTATAAAGACCTAGGGACTTTCTGGAAAATGACAATAGAGTATCCTAAGTATGGGGTTCCTTTTTGTACTTCACATAAAGATGATAAATAGTCTAGCAATGCCCTTGATGCAGATATTCTCTACACGGCTTTGAGCATGGTTTTGTTTTAGTTTAATGTACAGGAGATTCTTGATGCAGTCATAGATTATATGTAGCCAAAGAAAAAATGTTAATATTGCCAATGGGAAGGACTAGAAAAGGCTGCTAATAGATTTGGTAATTTGAGAAGATGCAAGCAAGGCCAAGTTAAAGGTGATTAAGTACAAGCCCAGGAGGCTAGAAAGAAAGTCTGGTACCAGTATAAAACCAAAATAGAAGCTCAAGCAGAAACAGCAGGTTTGAGGGGGTGACGAGTCCATTTAGTATATAATTTGGGTACATTTTTATACACAAAGACAACCACAACTAATTCCTTTTCTTCAGAGATGGGGCAGGTATTTTGTTCTTTTCTAAATTCTTCTACTTGGGATGGCGATCCTCTGATCCTTGGGATATAGGGCACTTACCTCTGCATACCCTGCAGCAAGAATCTGGAACAGAGACTGGGAACGCACAGGTCAGTTTAGGGCAAGTCTTGAGACCACAGTACACATTCCCCTCCTGCCAAGGAAAGCCAGAATCAATTCCAGGCTGATCTGAGAAAAGGGATCGTCAGGCATTATCTCAGTACCTGGGGTACATCCGGGACCAAAACATAGTACCGCTTCTCTTCCAACTAGCTTTAGGTTCTTCTTCCATTCCATGATGCATGCTTTCAGTTCCTATTTCCTATTTCCTCAAGAGAGAGATGAACTCCCCAAAGAGTTAGCAATCTTTGTCAGATATCCAGGCCCAAGAAAATATGCAGTATTCTGGGTGGACTGCCACCGGCCCCCAAACCCTGTGCCCCTCTCTTATTTTTACTGGTATCCTTTGGTCCTTATCATAACCTAGCTGTCTGTTGGGAGTGGATGAAAATGAGAATTTGGGTCATGGTCACTGTTTATAACACTCAATACAGTCTTTTTTTTTTCAAAACCAAAAGACAGGCTTTCTTTTGGGGGAGTAGAAATTATACAAATTGATTTTAATACCACAGCTCAGTCCCCTGTGAGGCAAGGGAGAGAAGCCACTTTGGGAGTTGCATCTGTTACTCAAGTAATTTCAATTTCCTAGAATTCTACCTTTTAAATGTTATCTCTTAAGCCCTGTGCTTTGTTCTTGGATACACATCCTAGTAAGGCTTGAAAGGCCATTAGAGATATAACATCACAATAAAATTCAGGTTACTGAGATACTTAAAATCCCAACTGGAAGAGATTCTATCTATTCTATCACCCTTGGTAATCCACTGTTTATTTCCCTGCTCAGTTAGTGAAGATGTTTCCAAGTTCCTTCTAGTTTTATTTTTTCATCTTTTTGTGGTTTGTTTTGTAATTTTTGAGGCACGGATTTGCTGTGTAATTCCGCTTGTTCTCGAACTTGTAACAGTTCTCTAGCCTCACCCTCTCATGCTTCATCTTCTTAAAACATAATATTTTTCTAATTCTTTGAGGATTTCATGCAAGCATGCAATGCATTTTGATCACACTCTTCCCTCACTCCTCCCTTAAGGCCTCCCAGATTCACCCTCATTACCCTTCCAAGGTCTTGTCTGTTTTGTTTGTAAGCCACTGAGTCTATTGTACCACTCATGTACCCTTGGACATGAGGGGACATACACAGGAGAATGAGCCACTTACCAGGAGTCACACCCTTAAAGAAAACTGATGCCTCTCTCACTGAAGAAGCCACTACTTGACTTTCTCTAAGAAACCAGTGATCGCTCCTCTCATGCTTCATTCTAAATATATATTTTACCATATTTTATTGTTCTGTCTAATAGTCTCTGGACTATACATTGAGGCAAGGATAAAGTTAGCAGACTTTATAAAGTATATACAATGACAAATAGTGTCATGGGAATCATTGCGATCAGGCATTAACTTCACTTTCTCATTGTAGGAAATTGGGGATTGACAACCTATTAGTAACAAGATGAAAGGAATAGGGATGTGGTCCAGTGATCAAGTGCCTAGAAATAGGACAGGGACAAATATATAACCCGTTTTTTCCCTTGTGGGTTTTTTTTTTCCAAATTTGATTACGTAGCTCTAGAACAGTGCTAAGTGTTCTACCTATAGCATTACCAAGACGTCAATAACTATGACTCCTCAGGTTAAGGGTTAAGTTGTATATCTATTTAGGAAATGTAGGTGATGATTAAGTCAAACAGCTCATCTTTGCCTATTTGAGTCCTCTGGGGCTAAAAGCCTTGGATACAACTGACTTTTAGCTCTTTGACAATTGCTCTCAAACTTGATGAAGATCAGGTAGTTTGGACAGGTGGGGAGGCTTGAGATGTAAACACACCTTATCTTACTTCAAACACCTTATAGCATCTGCTTCACTGAATAAATAAGGACAGAGATGGCTACTTTCCCATCTTGGTAGTGACCAGCAGGAACATTAAGATGCAGGGTCTTACCGAGCAGCTACACTGGGTGCACTGGTTGGGTTGCCGGTTCTGAAAAAGCCCTTCAGCCATGAACAGTTCTCCATGTTGGTAAGTAGTTCCATTATACTCACACGACTTGCTGGTTACCTTATTGTTCACAGGTGGTAAGGCATCTTCTGGAACAGAGTGGAGGAGAAAAATATAAACCACATCATGTATTGGCATACTTTCAAAGAATTTTATAATTCTCAACAGCAGATGGGGCTGTACTACATAGAGGGAGCTAAAACACAATCCTTGCTCCAGAGGTTAATAATTGTGGGTAGTAGTATTAAAACAGCCACAGAAGAGCTACAGCTGATCCATGTTTTCTTAAGAATTAATTGAGCAGTACCTATGTGCCTGGCAATATCATAAGCATTAGAGAAATGAGGACAAGGACTTGCTTTGATTGAGATTATCCTTGGTCCAGCATGAATAAGATAATGACTTACCTAAAAGGGAGTCCACACTACCACCATTTAGTCTTCTCGGAGACCTTCAGAAAAACCATCTATTGTCTACTGTAACTACCCTGGAAACATTATCCCTTATCATGTTGTATATAACTTGTCATACATTTGTACATAGATATTTTTATATAGCTTATTATATGAGTCCTTTGGTCTCTGGTTGTTACTTATTGTTAATTCTTCTACCAAGACAGCCTTTTTCTTTCATGGTCTTCTACATGTTGAAGACTTTGACTATAAAGGTTCAACTCTTGTCTCCTTTTCTCCACAAAGTATTGTGCAATAATTCTAGCCAATCCTCTGGACCTCTCGAGGTACCTGATATTGAAAGAACAAAATCTGGAACTTGAATATCACCAGAATGTGTGTCTGTATGCTATGGGCACCCAGCACACTATTTACAAAAGAGTTGCATATATATTAGCAAGAGTGATGCTCATAACTATATATGAGTCAAGTGAGATAGATTCTTCCCTTCATTTTTTTATTGGAGAGAAACAAATCACGACATTGACTTCCCTGAAATAACAGAACTAGTTAATGATGAAAAGGAGAACCAAAACCTGATGTCCTGAAATTAAATTTCACCTTCTATTACCTTATTTACACCTGTGTATAAATTATTTTTTGAAATTGAGTCTCTTTCATGTATTTCTACTTCACAGAATCTAGCAGACAGTTGCCGTAGAGAAGAAAAGTTAATTCACCCTGTGAGTTTAAGAGAATGATCTCTGGAACTTTTTCCACTGGGGTTTCTTTAGTATATTCTGTATTGCATGAGTATGCATACACTTAGTCTTGTCTTTGTCTCTCTGTGTCTTCTGTTTCTGTCTTTGATTTTCTCTCTCATACATACATGCACTGACACGCATGTGCACACACAATAGTGCACACAAAAATAGTAATGATTATGCTTCAAGGCTGACCTACTCATTAATGTGTGGAAAGTGCTTTGCCACAGGATAGTGGAAGAGTGGTGAAATCAGAGGAGCCATGGGTTTCTTTAGGAAGATGCTTAGGGAGCAGGGCAATTTTTTAATAAAAATATAATGAGTCCATATTATGTGCATAAATTATGCGGCTCTAAAACTGATAAAAAACAAACTGACATTGTTCATGAGATGCATTAAAATTATAAAGGCTAATAATAACAATATATGTCATCATAATATAACAATGGTTAACATTTATTGAGTCCTAAGTGTACACTATGCACATGGTGATTTTAAGTACATTATTTCATTGTCTTTCACCAATAACATTCTGTTGTATATATGATCATGCCAATTTTATCAAAGAAGAAATCAAGAATTAAGAAATGTAAAGCCCTGAGCATAGTCAGTGGTAGAATGCTTGTCTCCAAGTTCGATGTGCAGCACCACAAATTTAATTTATCTGTCCAAGGTCATGTAACTTGTAATTGGGAGCACTAGGACATTGAATGATATCTGATTCTGAAATTCCTTCCTATCCACTATCAAGAAAAGCGCATATAATTACAAATCTGTAGCAAGCAAAGCGTCATTTAATTATAACCAAATCCCAAAGCAACAGATCATGAGAGCGAAATTCCATGTTCGAAAATACCTAGAAAACTGCACTTTTCATCAACTTCAATGATGTGGCTAAAACTTTGGTTTTCTACTTTTCTGTATAAGTTTATCTAACCACGACTGTTTTTCCCTTAGATGTTAACTACTTATCCATGAAAGTATAGCCTGTAAGAATAGTTCTTGAGTTTTGGCTTACAAAGAAGAACCCTTTATGACATATTTCATTTCATACTGATTCACTCTCTGTCTAGGCCTTGAGTCCCCAGCCCTGCTATGTCTACATGCAAGCAGACAAGTGCAGCTGGCACAAACGAGTAGAACTCTTCAGGGAAAGGACAGGAGCAGGGCCATTTGCCCCCGGGGCTCTAATTTTTTCAAATCTCAGCATTTTGTGGTAAAGGAAATGTACAATGACCTACAAAACATTTGCTGTGGCTCTCACAGAAGCTGGCAGGTCTTTAGAGCACACACATAAACTCTGGAAATATTTAGCTTCAAAAGAATGTAGATTGGTTCTTCAACTGGGCCTTCCACTAAGACATCAATGGCAGGGCAACTGCAGGGAGAGGTTTTCCACTGGGCATATGAGCTTCAGAGTCTTCAGAGCACTGTGGCACTGGAGTCTACGAATCTACTCAACAGAATATGGGGAGAAAGCAGAAGACAGAGGTAAACAGGAATCAAAGAAAATGAGAGAAATTATTGTCAACCTTCCACCAATTCTTATGTAAATGTCTTGGTATCTTCATTCATTTTACGCTAACATTTGTAATGGTTTAGGGGAAAACTTATGAAAATGAAGCCACAGATAACCTGAAAGAATTTGACCCATGTTACAAAGCTGCTCAGAAGAAGAGTAGACCCTAAAATAGCTTTTCTGCCTTCCAGTGTGTGTTATTTTCACAAATGGTGCTAAAAGTTTAGAATAGTATCTATGAATCATTATGGTAGCCCCAGTATCAACTCCCTTTCACTTTTCACAGGCCACTTTCTCTTGTTTGTGTTTAATTTTTCTATCTAAGAATGGGGCACATGTCTCAGTTCTCCCTGAATCTTTATAGGGCCAACACAGCATGCTTCCCAACCACATGCGCAAGAAAAGCCACTCCAGTCTCTATCCTCTCCCTTCCCAGATTTTCTGAGGTGGCTGGGCTTTGAACCAACTATCCTTGGAACATATTCAGTGCGCCTAGCTGAAAACTGGCAGGAAATCAGTGTAAACCCAAGCTGGCTCCAGGACCCCTCAGGAGAATACTGTAACAAAAGTATCCAGGCTGCATAGCTTCTAGTCTCCCCATGTCCCATGTTTCTATTTAAATTCCCACAAAATACTATGAAAGGTACTGGAAGAGAAACACCATGAAGAAATCAGAACAGCATTAAGACATATTGTTACAGATGGACCGGAAAAAGAAGCTATCTCCATCTCTTTATATGAGGAATGACCTTATAAATAAACAGAACTATGATTTCTGACGTGCTTAGAGAACATTTCCGTACCCTAAATATTTATTACTTCTTTTGCTCTTTCCAAAGTCTAAAATACGGTGATTAGAGATTCATCCTGTTGCCTAAATGATTGTCAGTTTGCAATTAAATTTTGCAATCCAACAGACTTTCTTTGGAAACAAATACCTCCTCCAGAAGGAGGTAAAACTCAGGAGGTTGTCACATGTCTGGGAAAGCTGACACTTAAAAATAATTCTGTAATCCTCTGCTCCCCCAATTACTTACGTTATTCTTACTTTTGTATATGTGTGTATCTGTGCGCATTTGTGTAGGTACTCCCTACAGATGTACACAAGGTACTTGTGTAGAAGATGCTGGATTTCCTGATGCTGAAGCTACAGGCAGCTGTGAGCCACCTGACTGGGAACTGAACTTGGGTCCTCTGGAAAGGCAACCAGTGCTCATAACCCACTCTGGGTGCAATGTGACCAGCTGCCTCAAACTCCTGCTGCCATGATGGACTGTATCCTCAAACTGGGAGCCAGAATTAAACCGTTCATCCTGAAGAAGCTAATCAATGTGCCACTCTTCTATGAGCAAATAGACTTCAATAATACATGTTCACTTGGCCCCTCAGACAGCCCGGATCTAACAGATTCAAACTTCATGCAACTAAGTTATACAGTTGCTGCTACCCAAAGTGCCTTCCACTCAGCCCACTTGGGGGATATCTGCTTTGCCTTCCAGAATTTGTGGGCAGAGCCTTCTCAGCTGAAATCTCCCTTAGGCAGAATGCTACCCAAAGTGAAAATAGAGGTTGCCCTCTTTCCCCATCAACAGGCGACACTCTGACTCACCGGAAAGGTTTGTTTTAATCTCCAAATAAATCAATGTTTGCTGGGAGTGAGTGCATAGACCTGTACAGAATTCTGTTTTTTTAAAGCTCCTCAAATACAGCACCACTTTAATAATAATAATAATAAAAAAGTAAGCAACTGATGCACAAAGAGGCTCTAGCTAGATAGTGGCAGAGAAGGGACTTGGTCCTATTGAGGTGACTGCGAGTTGTGCAGAGAGCTTTAAGAATGTGGCTTTAATGAGCCACCTGCCTGGTGCTATCTTTCTCTGAACACTCTGGAAACAAAAGCTTTTGTGGTGGTTTCTCTCTTTCCTCTTTTCTTCACCATCAGATTGTCATTCTCTTAGTGGAGAAATTCTTGGCTATTTAGAAACAGCTTTATAGGGCTTCTGAGGGCTAGATGCTTATCTCAAGAATCAGCGCACCCTTTGTGTTGCCATTGCTCTCAGTCTACTTTATTTTCATGGCTGAGCTTGAATGTAACTTCTTTCTGCTATTGTAGCATTTCACTGATACAGTGGTAGAAAATCTTCAGGGCACTTCAGAGGGCAAGAGGTCAGAATGGAGGGAGAATATGGAAATGATATACAGACTTGACAGAAGAGATTATAAAAAGCGAGGCATAAGTAGATATGAACTTCATATTATATTTTATGTACTATAGACTATACTTTAAACAGTAAATAGTCATATTCACTTGTATTTTCCTTAAGAAAACATGGAAAACTACACAAGAAAGTCATAATAGCTATGAATAAATTATATGTTGGGATAGAAATAGTTTTATGTGGAATAGTCTGATT